AATACACCTTTCCTTTTTTCCTTTTTTTTTTTTTTTTAAAAAGAGCACACTTTAGTCTAAAGGGGATTATTTCCACTTCTTCAGGCCTTCCTGTTTATTTCCAGATTTTACCAATAGCCCGAGGTAATTCTGCCCTAGGAAACCTAGCAGAGGCAGGAGCCAGCTGGCAGGGAAAGAGAGACGAGAAAACACATGGATTTCAGGCCATAGCGATTAGTGGCCCTCTGCTGCTCCTGTGTGCACTGTTCTTTTCCATAACTGAGAATATGACTGAGGAGAGGACCAAAGAAGGCTAAAGGTCATTAGGCTTCTGCTTAACCTAGAACATTTGTCTCTCAGGAAGATGGGGAGAAAGACGTTGCGAGCTGGCATTCCAGAGGTAGAAGTGTCTGCCAACTTCTTTCCCAGGAAGGTAAGCATCTACGACAGCGGAGGAAGAACTGAATCTGAGGCTGCCCAACACATTCATTTCTTCAGGCCTCAGGAGCCTTTAATTCTAAAGTCACCTCATTTGGGTCCTCCAGCTAACTGGACTGACGAACCAACAAGAAAGTTCCACCTTGAACATGCTCACCTCCCATGAGGGCGACAAGCAGCTGCTACTGGAAGAAGCGACTACCACCCATCGCTCCATGTGTAGACACGGGAAAATGAAACAAGCTTTCCTGTCCCCTAACACCAGCAAAAGCAACTCAAGATGTCACAGCCAAGTGTGCCTTTAGTTCAGCTCTTACTTCCAAACCACAGAGGGGAGCTTTAAAAAACCCTCCAGCTGGGCTTGCTTACTTTGGGTCTCCAACAAATGAAGGGCTCTTGCCCACCAAGGCCAGGGCAAGGCCAATCTTTCAGGGCATTCAGCAAACAGAAGATGATCCTACAATGCCCTCCCCAAGGGTGTGGCACTTCAGATATTCAGAAGCTCAAGGGAGGAAATGCACTCCCTTCCCTTCTCACTAAGCAGAAATTCCCAGTCCAAGCCGGTCATTTGATCATACTGTTCCAAGTGTTACTGGCAGCCTCCATCCCTTCCAAATCAAGATCTGTAGCCCATGCAGAGCAAGACCTACACTTAACACTTCATTTTTTGGAGACAGAGTGTCATGTAGTGATCCTGTCTCCTCATCCAGAGTGCTGGGTGCACAGGCCTGCACCAGCTGCCTAGGTCTGCTGTGCTCGTCTCCTGTAAAGTGCTGATCACAAAACCCACTAAAGACCTTATCAACCATGGAGATAAATTGACTTAGTGCAAGGAAGAGAGACAAAGCATCAGAGGGAAGAATTTTCCAAAGTAGGAGGCAGCTCAGGGGTAAAGGTGCTCACCACACCAGAAACCCCAATGGAAGGAGAGATCAAAAGTTGCTCTCTCGCCAGGCGGTGATGGCGCACGCCTTTAATCCCAGCACTGGAGGCAGAGGCAGGCAGATCTCTAAGTTTGAGATTCCAGGTCAGACAGGGCCGCACAGAAAAACCCTGTCTTGAAAAAACAAAAAAACAAACAAAAAAATGCTCTCTGACCATTACTGGCAAGCCAAAACACTGTATACACACAAAGGTCTTTTTTTTAAAAATGAGTATGTGATGGAGGAAGGTCATTGGTTAATTAATAAAGAAACTGCTTGGCCTGATAGGTTAGAACATAGGTGGGTGGAGTAAACAGAACAGAATGCTGGGAGGAAGAGGAAGTGAGCTCAGACTCCATGCCTCTGCTCTCCGGTAGACGCGATGAAGCTCCAGCCCAAGATGGACATACGCTAGAATCTTCCTGGTGGTGCTACACACATTAATGGAGGTGGGCTGATAAGGATGTGAGAGTTAGCAAATAGGAGGCTGGAGCTAATGGGCCAAGCAGTGTTTAAATGAATACATTTTGTGTGTTGTTATTTCGGGTGTAAAGCTAACCATGCGGGAGCCAAGCGGGAAGAAAAGCAGGCCTGCCCGCAGCTCATACTACAAGTATGTGTCTATGAGACGTATGCCATGTGTGCAGAAGATGCTAGTGAAGGCCAGGTGAGAGTATGAGATCTCCTGAAGATGGGAGTTACAGGCAGCCCAGTGTGGAAGCTGGGAACTGAACTCAGGTCCTCTGCAAGTTTGGCAGGCACACTCTTAACTGCTGAGCCCTCTCTCTCTCTCTCTTTTTTTTTTTTTTTTTCGGTTTTTCGAGACAGGGTTTCTCTGTGGCTTTGGAGCCTGTCCTGGAACTAGCTCTGTAGACCAGGCTGGTCTCAAACTCACAGAGATCCGCCTGCCTCTGCCTCCCGAGTGCTGGGATTAAAGGCGTGCGCCACCATCGCCTGGCTGAGCCCTCTCTTGAGACCACCTTAAGGTCATTCCAGCCGAGCAATGGTGGCACACCTTTAATCCCAGCACTTGGGAAGCAGAGGCAGGCAGATTTTGGTGAGTTCAAGGTCAGCCTGGTCTACAGAGTCCCAGAACAGCCAGAGCTAAAACACAGAGAAACCCTGTCTCAACCACCGCACACACAGACAAATCATTCTAAAGTGGAAAAAGTCAACAAGCATTGTTTAACTAACCACCGCTGAGTTAACTGCTATAAAAGACTGCTTAGCCAGTCAGAGTGGTGCATACTTTAAATCCCAGCATTAGAGAAGCAGAGGCAGGTGGGATTGCTGAGGGTGAGGCTGGCCTGGTTTTACAGTGCTATCTCCTTTCAAAAAGGAAGCAAGCCGACCTGTATCAAAATCTAAAGACTGCCAGGCATAGTGAGTGGCCTTTAATGTCAGTACTCACGAAGCAGAGACAAGGCACTTCTCTGTGAGCTCCAGGCCAGCCAGGGGCATATAGTGAGACCCCACCCCCAAACAAACAAACTCTGTGCAGAAGCTCTGCAGACACAGGCTGAGTGGTAACTGTCGTGGAAAAGCAAATGAATGCATATTTCCGGCAGACCTTCCCAAGCATGTTAGAACTAATCCAAGCTGCGAGACAGCTTCTATCTTTAAAGCAAGGCTTAAAGACTACGTGCCTTTTCTTCTTTTGAAAGCACAGCAGCTCGGGGTTTGAAATACGACCACAGATCGTCTCTGGATCTTCTCTCAGGAGAGCAAGATTAACATACAGCTAAAACTATGGTTCCTCCCCAAGTAAATTAGAGCTAAATGCACCTGTTACTGTGACATGTGCTCTGAACTGTTGGAAGTATGGGCATTTTACTGACCAAAACCATAAAAAACTCTGGAGAATTACAGATCTCTCTCCACCACCCTGGAAATAATCCTTTTTTTTTTCCTTTTAAAAAGACAGGGTCTCACTATGTAACGTTGGCTGTCCTGAAATCATTATGTAGAATGAGTTAGCTTTGAACTCACAGAGATCAACCTGCCTGTCTGCCAAGTGCTGGTCACTAATCTCTGTTTCTTAAGAGTTACTAGTTCAAATTAAGACAATTTTATCTGGAGCTGACCAAGATCTTTCCTGATTGTTGGTTCCACCAGACATGGAGGGACACACAACAATCCCAGCCCTCAGGAGACTAAGGCAAGAACACCATGGATCTGAGGCCAGCATGGATCACACAACAAGGTTCAAGGTAGTATGATGGACCATGTGGTGAAACGTCGTCTCAAAAGAAAAAAAAAGTCATGAAAAGAAAGCCTAAATCCTGTTGGTCTTGAATAGATCAAATCAAAGGTCTCTTCAGCAACAGGAGCCACTGTTCCAGAGTGGACCTGTCTTACCCATTCTTTAACCTGGAGAGTCCTAAGGAATGGCTTCCTCTGCCAGAGTCATTCTGAAGGTCTTTCAGGGCATTCATCCCTTTCTCTAGACTGGCCTGGCTAGATCCTCTGCCAACTTTTCTCCTAGCTTTGTTTGCTTTGCTCCATCGCTCCCTTCCTTGTTTGGTTGATTTTTTTTTTTTTTTTTTTGAGACGGGGTCTGACCCTGTAGCTCAAGCTGTCCTAGGACTCATTTATGTAGCTGGGGCTGGCCTTACATTGCAACTCTCCTGCCTCTTCTTCCCAGAGGAATGGGACCACAGGCCCAAACTACCACACACAGCATCTGGATTGCTACCTCTTGGTGTTGGCAAGGCAAACGCTTATTCTGTGCCTTCCTATTGCACAAGATTCCAGGAGGGCCAGGCCCAATTTGCAAGTGATCGGTTGAGGTGAACTTGGGAGGCCTGCCCCATGGTCAAGACTACCCAACTGTACAGACTGCAGAGACTGCCAACCAAATCTTCACCCGCTAGCTAGCCAAAGGCCAACCCACTGGGTCACCAAAAGAAGGCAAAGTTCTGAGATTAGAAAAGGAAGGCCAGTTCCCTTCATTAAGGCCCAGAAGATTCCTTTCTCCCTCTAGAGAATAGCCCAGAATGGGGACAAACAACCTTTGTGCTTCCTTTCCCGTGACCAATTCAACATGTTTCACCTCTAGTGTTGCTGGTAAACAGTTCCGGGTCATCTTTGGAAAAGCAACCCCAGGCAACTCCTTTTGCACTGCCTCCCTCTACATGCCCCTTCCCTACGACCATGCAACCTAATCCGACTAGTGTTTGCTATTTGACAAAGCCCCCGTCCACAATTTCAAAGTCGCTCCCCCAAAGCCCTGAGCTGAAAGCTGACAGCGCCTCTACCAGAGCCAACATCTGGGCTACCACAGGAGGCATTTTACCACCGCCACCCCTTGCCAATTCTCCACCCTGGGGCTCCCCTGACCTGTGATGACTCCTCCAACAAAGTAAACAATGCTGCCAAAGGAGGATAACACTGGGCGAGGCATGCACAGTGCATGCCAGCCTCGTCCCGGGGCTCTAAGCACTGCCAGATAAGTCAATGGACGATTCCGCGCCGGATCCCCCTCCCCGACTTCCCTCCTCCAAAACCCGAAGGGCAGCTCCAGAGACGAGTCCTGCCTCGCAGAGTGCACGTTCTGCAGCACACAGTCCGAGCGGCAGACGTGCCCGGGAGAGGAAGCGGCGGGTCGAGCATACAGTGCCACGCGCCAGCGGCGATGGCGGGCAGGCCCGGACAACTCACCTCCCGGCGTGGTGGAGAACAGCGTCCCGCCGGGAGTGGTGCAGTAGTCCTGAGGTAGCTGCGCAGCGTCGCTGATGGCCACGGTGCGCGTGGGGATGGCGCGGCTCTGGCTGGGCTGGTGGCCGCCGCCTGCCGACGCGGACATGGCTCAGGCGCGGGCTCGCGGCTTTGTGCGGCGGCGGCGGCGGGGCCCGGGAGGCACTGGCTCCTAGAGCGGGAGAAAGAGAGCGCTCGGCTCTCAACTCGCCGGCTCTCGCTCGGTCGTCCCGCTGCGCTCCCGCCGCCGCCGCCGCCGCCCGGTCCTCCGGCCTCCGCCCGCAGCCTCAGCAGCAGAAGCAGCAGCGGCAGCAGCGGTAACGGTGACTACCGGAAGCGAGCGAAGGCGGGAGCAAGAGGGAGGGGAGTGCAATATGGAGACCGGATGTGGCGAAAGCAGGAGGCGTGTCGAGGGGGGGTGTTGATCGAGGAACTGAGGGCGGGGCTGAGCTGGCGAAGCAAGAGGGTCGTCCCGGAAATCCAAAAAACAGGAAGTGGGCGTGAAGGGTGGGGCCTTCAGGGTGCGCTGGGCGGGACTTGGAGGGGCGGGACTTAGCTCTAAAGGACCGAATGGAGATTAAGCTGGATGTGGGTGACGTTCTCTTTTATTTGTAGTGTGGTGTGTAGGTGTCAACTAACAGTACTTTCCTGGTGCCTACTTCGGGTTCCCAGCTATATTTAATAATTAAAAGTATAATTTTGGAGGGTCCCGTGGATGGTTCAGCGGATAAAGAATGGTATGCCACCAACCCCCCCCCCCACTTCCCCCAAATTGTTCTCTAGACTTCTAGACGCAGGACGCATGGCTCAGCGGTTTAGAGCACTGGGTATCCGACCTCATCTTCTGACCACTGCAACACACTTTTAATGCACATACATACATGCAGATAAAGCACTCATACGATAAAATAGAAGCAGGATGGTTACGAGCTTAAGGCCCATCTATGCTACATAGCTAGTTTAAGGCCAGTCACGAATACGAGACTGTCTGAAAAAGTAATGAAAAGTGGGAGGTGAGGAGATAGGTCCACTTGTAAGATTGCTTGCTGTGCAATTGTCAGGACTCGAGTTCAAACCCTATCATCCACATTAAAAAATTTATTAAATATACAATATTCTGTCTGTGTGTATGCCTGTACCAGACCTCATTACAGATGGTTGTGAGCCACCATGTGATTGCTGGGAATTGAACTCAGTACCTTTGGAAGAGCAGGCAATTCTCTTAACCTCTGAGCCATTTCTTCCAATAAGAGATTTTTTTTTTTTAAAGGGCAGACCATGAGGCTGACAGTGGTGGTACATGCCGTTAATCCCAGTACTCAGGAGGCAGAGGCAGGCAAATCTGTAAGTTTGAGGCCAGCCTGGTGTACCGAGTGAGGTCCAGGGAAACCCTATCTTTAAAAAAAAAAAAAAAGAAGCCAGACATGAAGTGACCCCCATGCTGTGGAGAGAAGAGGTCAGGAGTTAACAGCTGGAACTTGCTGACTTCCATCCCTACTCAAAGCTCATTGAGAGTCATCTGGGAAAGGGAACTTCCACTGAGAAGGGGTCTTCATCAGATTGGGGCCTGCTGACAATCCCGTGGATCATTTCTTGATTAATGATTTCTAAGGGAGGGTCCAGACCACTATGGCCAGTGCCACCTCTGCTCATGTTGTGTGAGATGGTACAGGAAGCAGGCTAAGAGAGCCTGGGAGAGCAAGCCAGTAGGCAGCACTACTCCATGGCCTCTGCTTCACTTCCTGCCTCCAGTTCCTGCCTTGGATTCCTCCCCTGACTTTCATTTATGATGGACTATAAACTTTAAGGGGAAATAAGCCATTTCCTCTTCAAGTTGCCATTGGCCATGACCTTTATTAAACTATAAAAAGCAAAGTAATATACAAGGCAACCAGGGGCAAAGATGTGTTGCTTTTGTATATGCTGTATTTGTTTAATTTTGTAAAAATGTGTTGCATTTGTTTCACCTTGCCTGCCTAAGGCACTTGATTGGTCTAATAAAAAACTGAACAGCCAATAGCTAGGCATAAGAGGGAGAGGCAAGGCTGGCTAGCAGAGAGAATAAATAGGAAGAGAAATCTAGAAAATGAGAGAAGAAGAAAGAATAGAGAACTAGGGAGATGCTGGGGCAAGAAGCCAGGCAGCCAACAGCCAGCAGACATAAGGAGCAATAAAAGTAAGATATACAGAAGGAAAGAAAAGTAAAAAGCCCTGACACAAAAGGTAGCTAAAGAGAAATGGGTTAAGTTAAAAAGAGTTTGCCAGAAATGAGCCTAGGCTAAGTAGAGCATTCATAACTAATAAGAAGTCTCCATGTCATGATTTGGGAACTGGTTGGTGGCCTAAAAGAAAAAGCATGGTACATTTTGGCATTCTAACATGAGGCCTGAATTTTCACATAGGGCCTGAGAAGGTTAAAGAAGAGAGAGAGGAAAAAAAGGATACAGTTCCTTTAAGAAGCTCTGCCATATAGCAGAGCACTTAAACAGCTAGTACATTAAGTAGAAACAAAAAGCTATATAAAAATGCCTGCCACAGTGCAGGACACCCACTTCTTAGAGCTGAGGGGCTTAAATGGAGTTCCTGGTCACAAACCTCCAGACTGGACCGGCAAGCTTAAGGCTGTGACCTTAAAAATCCAGGCAGGGTGGAACCAGCTGCCAAGGCTGCAGCAGAGGACCTAGCAGTAGCTTAGCAGTTTAAGGTTTTGCTCATGTAGACAGAAAAGGATAGAGATGCGCAGTAGAGACAGATCCAGATGGAAAAGGCCTCTAAACAGGTTACAGTATGTTTAAAATGCGCATAGGTTTAAGAAAGAAAAGAAAATGAATGTTCAGTCATAGAAAAAGTAAATAGTTTATAAATAATAATAAAATAAGCCATGTAGAGTTGGGAAATCCACAGGGAGTTTGTCTCTTGTGTAGTATTGTGTTGTCTTCGAATTTTTTGATTGCTGATAAGCAAGCAACAGCTGCTGGGAGACATGGGATTGTGAAGGGGATTGCTGAATTAAACCAGCCTATATACTTTAGGAGTGCCTTAACTTTAAAGTGGAAATCAAAAAAAATGTATTTCTTTGGGAAAAAAGTTATGGTTTTGTTTCCACAGCAAATGAAAGTGGGATTTATTCAAGTTTGACAGAGATCAGGTTTGATTGGGGAAGACCCCCTGAAAATCCTGGCTACAGATATAATGAACTAAACCTAGAAAAACTACAAGGCAGGTAATGTTTATTTTACATGCTCAAACATAAAACGAAAAAAAATCATCTTTGGCTGGCTTGTGTGCAATGCATAGTCATACTTGTGTTAATGCAGGTATGTATATTACCTTTGACAGTCTGTGTGTTTTCAGAGCAAGGGAACGAGACACCAATAAAAATGAGTGGTCCAAGTAATTCAGAATGCCTCTGTTGCAGTTTCCTAAGAATTCTGCATCTAGAACAGCTTCAACGCTGCTGGCTGAGATGGTCCAGCCTCACAGGCTATTCTAGCCAGGACTGCAGGTAAGCCTTGTCCTTTCCCATTGAACAGAGACTGAACAACAAATGTTATAACTAATTTCCTTAGGACTTGACTATTATCTCAATTTTCTCAGGTTCACTAAAGATTCCTTTGTCCACAGACAACAGAAGCAGTTTAGAGAATACAATGCTCACATTCCCAAGAGGTAGAGTGGGTGGTTTTGGTCATTTGGTGGGGTATGGATATTTGTCATTATTTAGTGGGGATATAGGATAAAAGACAACTATTAACTTCAAATATTTTGCATTGTTATAGATTTTAGTAGCCAGGTGGTGGTGGCATACACCTTTAATCCCAACACTTGGGAGGCAGAGGAAAGCAGACATTAGTGAGTTCAAAGTCAGTCTGGTCTACAGAGCAAGTTCCAGGACAGGCTCCAAACTACACAGGGAAACCCTGTATCGAAAAACAAAACAAAAAAAAATTAAGGGCTGGAGAGATGGCTCAGAGGTTAAGAGCACCAGTTGTTCATCCAGAGGTCCTAAATTCGATTCTGAGCAACCGTATGTTGTCTCACAACCATCTATAATGGGATCTGATGCCCTCTTCTGGTATGAAGTTATATATACTTGTTATATAAATTTAAAGTTATTTTTGTTATAGGTATATACGGTATATCTTTCTACTCTTTTGGGATATTGTGCTTATGTAACTCATTTAAGAACGCAGATTAGCAGTTAGTCATTTATAATAATCAAACTTACAGTTGTGTTAGTTATGTTTTCAAGGTTAAACAGATATATTTTAGATAGATGGTTTTCAGATACTTCACAGACCTACAGAATATGACATTTAGGATGTTTAATAACTCAGGGCTTTTCATGACAGTGAGGCAGGTCTGCTCCTGGTAGCACTGATTTACTTCAGAGAAGATGATGGGCATTGAAAAACCTCAATATGGAGTTTGCCTTTATTATGGCAAAGTTAGTCACAGGGTAAAGAAACTACTCTTGCCTTGACGGCTGACAGTATGCTGTACAAAGTGGACAAGCAGGACACAAAGGGAAAAAAACCATAACTTTGCCGAAACAAGGCAGACAGTCCTTTAGAATTCCTGCTTCGTAGACAAGTCTGCCAGATATTCTAGGCCTGTAGGCCAAAGATTAGTTGCCTCAACATTGCAGAGGAACCTTGATGACTGGCCAGGCAGTCAGATGCCTGTCAGTTCTTTAGTTTTGGAAGTGGCTTGCACTGTACTTCGGGTTCACTCAGGTAATACATCCTTCTGGGATCTTTGATGGAGTTGAAGACTAGATAGATACAGTTTCTGTTTTCCTTAGTTATAGTAGAAAGTAAATTAGATACTGAGCTATAGACTCATCAAGATAGAATAGATAATAAAGAGAATTCTCTGAATTTGCCAAATGCAAATTGACTGGATATGTAACTGTAATCCTTACTTGATCCATGACAACTCTTATAAAGGAAAACATTTGAGTAGCTTACAGTTTCAGAGGTTTAGTCCATTATCATCACAGTGGGACATGGTGGCTGGAGAAGGAGCTGAGTGGAGAAGGAGCTACATCTTGATCCCAAAGGCAACAGGAAGTGGTCTGGGTGTCACACTGAGTGAAGCTTGAGCAAAGGAGACCTTAAAGCCCACCCCCATAACAATACACTTCTTCCAACAAAGGCACACCTAATAATGCCACACTCTATGAGTTTATGGGTGCTAATGACATTCAAACTACCCCACACCTCAAAACCAAAGTAAAGACAAAAAGGGGAAGGGGGCTGGTAAGAATGTAACTCAGTAGATGGGTGTTTGCCTATCAGGTGTGAAGAGATGGGTTCAGTCTCCAGTACCACATAAAATTGAGTTTGGTGA